CAGATTTGATTTCTCAGTATTGATAACAAACCAATAACTCAATCCCCGACTCTACTCCTACCACAACTAGCAAAAGGAGATCTCAAAAAACGGAGGACATAGTGAAGCTATATTTATGTCCAGAAGCAAATTATGAGACCTCATAATTTTCTCAATGTAGCAGGGAAGCTAGTCGAAAACCTGATCAGGATGGGAGTGATTGACCCTGAAGTTGAAGTAGTACATTATTTATTATTATTGTTACATTAGAAATGCATTCATACGATTATCAATTTTGATTTTTACAATTGGAGAGAGCATTCTAATACGCTACATTCAAATTACTTGCGGCCTATGACTGTCTCTCCCTGACCCATTCAATTACTCGTTTTTTGTATTCAGCCTCGGTCTGTGTTGATTTATTTTGAATATGTATTTTTCATTTTATACGTGTTTTTTGCAGTTAACGAGAGTTCAGGACCGAGTCCCTGTAAGTTTTAAACCTCTTTTTTACGTTTGAACATTTCATAAATTAATACTGATTTCCATCGTGCTTTCCATCAAAGGTCGATAGCTGTGGCGCAGACGCGTGCTAGGGTAACCACTGAGCATGAAGGATTGTGTATTTGAAACCCACGTGAATCACGGATGTCTTTACATTATCATTTGAAAGTCGAAAGCAGGAAAAAACCATTCCAAACTATTCCAAAATATCATCTTCCCAATCGCTGCTACGCGAACTCCCAGGGCTTATAAACAGGAACTCCCAGGACTTTATTGCGGGACATTCTCACTGATGAGCGCCTGTGCTGAGAAGTGCGAGAATGTGCGTTCTCAAAAAAGGCTCCAATTTTTTTCTTTATTTTTTGCGCAATCTGAGCAAAGGACGCTTAATGGCGCAGGTCGCATTTTTGTTGAACACTGCATTTTCGAAAACTGCAAAATGTACAAATAATACGAAAAGGAATGCGCTTCTGTTGCTCCGCTAGTTTAATTTTAATTTAATCGGCAATGAACAATATAAGTACACGTTGGCATATTGTAAAATGGAAAGGGGATTTCTCTTTATTGCTCTGTGACCGTATAATGGTAAAAGTTTACTGCTGCTTGCCTCGTGCTGAAGGGGGGGGGGTGACGCGTTGCCTGACTTGTAGCAGAACAGCAAGCAGACATTTCTGTTGTATTTAATTTCTCAGAATCATCTACATGTCTCACTTTGAAACAACATATTACGCAAGCGTTAGTTATTTTTCCGAATTTTTTTAGATTGTCGGGATAAAGAAAAAATTCAAAAAGTAAAAATAAAATACGGCCGAGGTGTGAGCGTATGCCGACCGCCTCTCGCTGAAGAATCGCAGGTTCGAGTTCAAAATCCGCCGTGGGCATGGTTGTTGACCCTTTGTTTAATGCATGAGTTGTTGCGAGGATCTCGCGTTCTGTTGACCACAGATCAGTGGAGCCTTCAAAGAGTGTTAATGTTTAGTATATGGTCAAATATGCGTCCCATCGGGACGCGAAGGGCTACTGGCTGTCGGCTGGAAAAATCACTTAGTACAATAAAAATAAAATAAGTTAAGCAAATTAAAAAACTAAATAAATTTGATACGTACTTAGGAAAACATGAAATTTTCACCACAATTACAAGTCGAGTTACAAACGATTAATATTAGTGATGCAGTTTTTTTTTGGAAAATTGAAAATTAATGTCGGCTCGAAACAAACGTCTTTGGGTAATATGGAAAACGTGTTTCATATTTTTGCTTACACTTTTTATAGAAAAACATCTAAAATGTAGGATATCAAGGTCAAATTTTCTTTGACGTGAAGCTATTTGACGTGGAATGTCTCCCATGCATCATTCCCATATGGCCTCTTTAAATCGGCTTTTTGCGCGCAGTCGAGGGGGCGAAGCAGTGAGCTCGCGAGAGGGTGGGAATGGTGGTGCTGTCGAGCGCGGGCCAGCGGAAAGCAAAGATGCGGGCGCGAGGGCT